TCTTTCCCTTTTTGCTGAGTTTGAGAAGACCCTCGGGATTGGAGAGATCGGCCGAAGACAAGTCCATTTGTGGCCCTTTCCTCATGTGTTCGGGCAGTTCGTCGTCTTCGAGCGGTTCCTCGTCTTCTTCCCACTGGTCGTACAGACGCTCGATGTCGGCGTCGTTGAAGTCACGGATGTCTTTGTTAGCCCACGAGGGCTTCGGCCCGTCACCAGACTTCTTGCACATCACTGTCACCGCACACATGACCACCAAGAAGTAGATGAGCGGACACTTCATCGCAAACATTCACTTCTTGTCTCAATCGTTGTCTCAATCGTTGTCTCAATTGTCTCTCAATTGCTGTCAATCACCGCATCAACTGATGACACACTTCACATCAATAACGTCGACTATATGGCAGGGATGAGGGGGTGGGGGAGTGGGGGCTGTGAGGGGGGACTGACTGCTGACTGGACTGACTGCTCAGTGAAACACTGACAGTGAGTGCAACTGTAGTGAGACTCGCAGTGAATGTATTGTTTGTTTGCATGAATTGCAAGTGAATTGTCAAACATTTATTCAATTCATTTGTTTACTATTAAATGACATACAATTGGATTTGTAGTCATATTCAAGAAATGCTGTCTTAATGGTGACCAATGAGTGTCATTGTCTTCAATCTCATTGAGTGTCACTGAAATTGAATCGCTTTTAAGGCAAACAATGGCCGGAAGTTTTTGGCAGAGCTCTCACTTGTATGACACTTATGAAGACATTGGTCTTATGTTGAGATAATCTAACCATTTGTTCATTCAGTCAGCAATGGCTTCTCACTCGCCAAGACTTGTCACGAGAGAGACACCAAGACTTGCAGATAGTGACAGACGAGGAATACCTTAAACTAATGATCTTTTTCGCTAATCGTAAGCATTCATGCCATGACTGAGAGAAGTGACTTCTTCTAATGGTTGTGATGTCTGTATCAGTGATCCAGGCGTTGGGCGAGCAGTTGAAGGTGAAGCAGCAGGTGGTGGCCACAGCTATCGTCTACTTCAAGCGCTTTTATGTACGAAATTCGC